CCCAATGACCTGTGGTCAGTCCAACCACCGAGGTCAACAAACACCCGCCTGGAGGTTTCAAAGAGAGAACTATTCACAACCCCCGTGAAGGGACCGCTGTACAAGGGGCGGTTACCCTGTTGACTTTGTTTTTCCAGGGACGGAACTCGTACCGTTTGTTATGAATCCAAATAGACTGACCAGCTTTTATCATGTGAAGCAAAGGGCTGGATTAAAACCCTCTGATTGGTTTGCTTGACCGGTAACGAAGGACAACCGGTCGGTGTAGAAACAAGATAGCTTTCAACAGGCATTAGAGGGTTGCTAGATTAAAGGGAGAGAAGTTGATTTAATAGCTAGAGTCATTGTCCTTGTTTTGATTTGCATGGGCGAGTTGCAGTTACCACTGTAAACACGCTGTCTGTATTTCGGACTGTAAGGCCTTCAGATCCATTTTATGTTAGGTAGTTGTCCATCGTGATATACACATTAGTGTGACCTTAAGTTCGGATACACCGACCTTGACCTATGTACTCTGGTAACTTCGATTCCGCACTGTCGGAAAATATAAACGTTGAAAAAAAATGTTTATCTAGAAAATCTAGATGCCTACTGTATTTTTTTTTAAATTTCTTTTTTTCTCTATCAATTAGAATAAAAATTCTCTTGTACTCTACATATAAACATGTATTGAAACAGTTTTTTTTTTATTACTTCAACATATTTTTTAAAAGTATTATCTCACTTAATGAAAATCATTTATCTCAAGTTTTAGTGTAAATTTTGAAAAAAAAAAATTAATGTGAATTTGGTTCGAATACTTACGTCGAGTGTTCAAACTATCGAGAACCTTTTGTGTATGACCGGGGACTTGAACCAATAATCTCAGCCATGCAATAATCCTCCGTGACATTAATCGATCTCACGGATATGCTATCGATTAGGCCGCGCCTGATCGCGTTGTGTTGGTTTAATCTCCGCCTTAATCCCTTTAAAAAAAACTCACAACAATGGAGGAACTGGTACAAGTGCTCACGGCTGGTGGAATCGATTGGGGGATGGCTTTAGAAGGTTCTCGAATTGTTGGTAACTTACTGTAGAAATGGGACGGATCTGATGGCGGGCTGACCTGTTTAATGTGGTGGTTGGCGTCGTGCTTAATGTGGTGGTTGGCGTCGTGTTTAATGTGGTGGTTGGCGTCGTGTTTAATGTGGTGGTTGACGTCGTATTTAATGTGGTGGTTGGCGTCGTGTTTAATGTGGTGGTTGGCGTCGTGTTTAATGTGGTGGTTGACGTCGTGTGACAAACTAATGTTGTAAGAGTTGTGAATTTTAGAAAAACGCTGAAATCTATATTTTGATAGAGAACGCTGGATTTTCTATTTAAGCAGTCTACGGTGTATTCTGTGTTTTCTAAGAGTAAATTCTGTATTGTGGAAGACGACGCCGAATTCTGTATTTTACCAGACTACGGTGAATTTTGTATATTGCCATACTACGATGAATTATGTATTAGATCTATGTATTATGACGGAGTGCGCTGAATTAAATTATGTTTTTTTAGACTGCGCTATTTTGATAGACTACGCTGAATTCTGTATTTTGATAGACTACGCTGAATTCTGTATTTTGATAGACTGTGCTGAATTCTGTATTTTGGAAGACTACGCTGAATTCTGTATTTTGATAGACTACGCTGAATTCTGTATTTTGATAGACTACGCTGAATTCTGTATTTTGGTAGACTACGCTGAATTCTGTATTTTGATAGACTACGCTGAATTCTGTATTTTGATAGACTACGCTGAATTCTGTATTTTGGATAGACTGTGCTGAATTCTGTATTTTGGAAGACTACGCTGAATTCTGTATTTTGATAGACTTCGCTGAATTCTGTATTTTGATAGACTACGCTGAATTCTGTATTTTGATAGACTACGCTGAATTCTGTATTTTGATAGACTACGCTGAGTTCTGTATTTTGATAAACTGTGCTGAATTCTGTATTTTGGAAGACTACGCTGAATTCTGTATTTTGGTAGACTACGCTGAATTCTGTATTTTGGTAGACTACGCTGAATTCTGTATTTTGGTAGACTACGCTGAATTCTGTATTTTGGTAGACTACGCTGAATTCTGTATTTTGGTAGACTACGCTGAATTCTGTATTTTGGTAGACTACGCTGAATTCTGTATTTTGGTAGACTACGCTGAATTCTGTATTTTGGTAGACTACGCTGAATTCTGTATTTTGGAAGTCCAATCATCTACTGTCTCTCTAGCTCAAATCAACTTCTGAGGCTTTCTCCAGCCCCCAATCATCAGAAGACTCCACCCCTCCCCTCCCTCCCCTACGAGAACTGACCTACTTCTCGACCAGCTGACAGCACATTCCACTCATCTCCCTACCGCAGTTTTATCGCTCTTTGTGCGTGAGTAAAATTAAAATTAACGGGCGCATTTTTTTCTGAATGCGGGCGTCACACTTGGTTTTTATGCCCAGATCTTCCCTCGCCTCGGGACTCGGGAAGGGGACAGCATTTGATATTTTGTAGTTTTGTTTTCTTAATCATCGCCCCTTAGTAGGCGAGAGGATCGTAAACCACGTTACGGCCGGGTGAGTAGCGGTGGATGTGACACTTGCCTTGGTACGTCAATTGTTGTCCAAGTTTTCAGGGAGGGGGGGGGGGGGGGATACGGGTAGCCGGTCAGTCGGTGCGGGTTTAGGTGAGGGTAGGGGATTTAGGGTGGGGTTTTTTTTGGTGGTGGGGATGTTTGGGTTGGGTTTAGTCGGGGGTGATAGGTTTAGGGTGGGGTGGGGTAGTGGGGCGTGTTCGAATGGTAAAGCATTCTACTGCTTACCCGAAAGTTTCGAGTTCGGATCCCTTGCTTGAGTCTGTAGAATGTCGTTGAGTCTACCCAGCTCTGATAGGTACCTGGCTTACGTTAAGGAAACTGAAAACTTCTGGGCGCAGTGCTGACTACACTATCCTTTCATATGTCGAGGTCCCTGAAACAGGTGAACTCTACTTCACCCGTAAGGTTTGAAAGGGTACTTACTTTGGGTCGTTGTTTTAGGGTAGGGTTGTGTTTAGGATCGAGTTATTATTTATTTTGGGATGAAAACAGTTGTGTTGAGAGTTTGATGTATTATATCGAGGTTATAAGAGTGAGTTACGGGAGGGGATTGAGAGAGCGAGGTGAGGGTGTTGAGAGATGTGGGGTGAGAGTAGGGGTGTTTGTTGTGAGTACAATTGTAGGTGTTGGGTGTGGGTGTGAGTGTGAGTGTGAGTGTGAGTGTGAGTGTGAGTGTGAGTGTGGGTGAGTGTGAGTGTGAGTGTGGGTGTGGGTGTGAGTGTGGGTGTGGGTGTGAGTATGGGTGTGAATGTGGGTGTGAGTGTGGGTGTGTATGGATGTGAGAGTGATTGTGGGTGTGAGTGTGGGTTTGAGTGTGAGTATGGGTATGAGTGTGGGTGTGTGTGAGTGTGGGTGTGGGTGTGGGTGTGAGAGTGATTGTGGGTATGAATGTGTGTTGTGAGAGGAGGCCATCTATATATTATTTTATGTCGCAGTTATTATTTTCTAACAAGTTCTCCCCCCCCCCCCCCAAACATACACATACATACAAACCTAAAATAAAGATTTATAATTTTGATTAATCTCGTGCAACAAAATTTTAGCTCCATCTAAAATGTTATAATTTTAAAATGAAACAACATAAAAAAAAACAAAAAAAAAAAACACATCGTGTTTTAACAGAATTGGAGGCTGTTCGTTTAATACAACTAGTTTCACGCCATCGATAATGTTGCCTAGCAACAGTTGTATAACCCTCTCTACTTCCGTATTTACCGATGTACTGCGCATGTCACTACACAATGTAGCATCACATCAAATAAATTGAAAAGATATTTCAGTTTTTTAACTCCACTCGGGGGGGGGGGGGGGGGGGGGGGGTAGCACAGGATGAATAATTTTAACTTTATTATGTCAAACAACCATGGCACATTTGTTTAAAAAAAGCTGTTTAAAATAGACGAATTGTCCTTAAACAATGGTGATTTGGAGAAATAAAAAAAAAAATAGTTGAATGGAAAAGTAATTGGATCCTAAGTGTAGATGGTAACAACATTAAAGACAGTATCCAACAAGATGATCTCACAGCAACGCTTTATTACAGCTAGATATTCAACTGGGATTTCTGGAAAGAAAAATTACGCACTAACAAAGAGTTATCTCGGAAGGAAAAAACGGAATTATATAAATCTTTTTTTTTGTTCAGAAAATCTATTACAGTTTACAAATTCATACTAACATGTATATTGTATACCTATGGCCCATGCTCACTCATAAATTCTTAACCCATACTGAAACATATTACCGATCCATAATTACACAATATTATTGATCATAACTTACATATAATTACAGACCCATACTTACACATTACATACCCATACTGACACCCATATTACCGACTCATACTTACACATACTTCTAAATTACTGAACGTAACGTACACATATATTACTGACCCATTCTTACATATTACCGACCCCCTACTTACATATTACGGACCCGCTGTTTACATACTACCGACACATCCATAATTGTATAGTACTGTTTCAATGAAACTTTCATACATACCCGTATATAACTGCCCCATACTTACACATGTAATTTGAAAACAAACCGAACATTTCATGCTTACACATGCGGACATGTCGCTAGCGTGTAGCTATTATTAGCCCCACGTTCTGTGCCCCTACCTCAGCCTCATCAATTAAAGTAGAAGCCAATTAGAGGAAAGGCGATGATATTAATAGCTCCTCGCTTTCAATTACTGTCAATGGTAATGTGCCACTACAGACGGGGGGAGGGGCTTAACCTTTGAGGACGTCAGTAGGCAGTGCCACTGGCTGGGTATCGGCAAACAGGAGCCGAGTGGGCGGGGCTTAGGAAGCTCTTGAAGGTTTCCCAGCGAGAAACCGATTAAGTCGGGTTTTAGATGGACCGCGGGGCCAAATGACGTTGAGATCTCGTATGGAAAGCTGTCAGACCATGGGAGTTCGCGAGGACAGTCGAGGGTCATCAGATGAAGAGGTCGTGAGTCCCCGTCCCCAGGACAGTTCAGGGACACCAAAGATGTTTCTGGAATCCGAGCTGGAGGAACCAGCGTACCAACACAAAGACAACAACAAGCTGAGCCGGCTGAGCGGACTCAAGTCAAAACACGTACCCAGCAAACTGAAACAGCAGAAGAAACACGGCGAGGCCCGGACGTCGTTAAGTGGCCACCCTAACGTCTTGAAGTCGAACCCGTCTCGGACTGTAACGTCGCCGCCGTCGTTATCCCATGCAATGATGCCGGCGTTATCGACGTATACCGAGTCGTTGCGTCAGAGCTGTTTATCGAAGCCGGATACGGAAGCGGGAGCTATTCTTAGAGACAGTGAGATTTTAGCTGCGGAGAGTTTAAGAGCTAAACAGGACCTGCGTCTCGCGGGGTTGTTTAAAGACAGCGCAGCCATGATGTCGTGTAGCGAAGCCAGCGCTTTGTCGTTTTACCACAAGGCGATGGGGCTATCGTCCCGACCACCAGCACACTACAGCGACAAACTCAACAGACAGCTACAGCAGCTGGACAGACTGAGCCCAGAGCCGCGGAGCCCGTTACACGCCAGCCCGGGGGTGGATGTTTTTCACAGCCCGACCCCGCGACCCGGGGATAGAGTAGAGGAGAGAGTTGACTCTAGCAGGTTTTCGCCCTACCCTGTCAAACACACCCCCTGCACGCCACCTCCGCCTGCGACACAACCTGCGCAGGTTTTACCTCTCGTCTTGGACAGGAACTTGACCCCAGGGGATAAACCGCAGTGTGACATTTCTTCTGAAGAATCGCCATCAAAGTCAGGGACCCGAGACATGACCCCCGGGACCCGAGACATGACCCCCGGGGTCACAAACTCTACACCAGAGTCCGGCCATGACCAGTCGTCAACGTCCCCATCATCGCCGGGGTCCAGGATCGAATCCCAGTCAAGATCAGCCCACAAAACCACGGCTTTTAGCGTGGCGGACATATTGGACCCGTCCAAATTTACTGGCAGTAACCCCCGGGGCCAAGTCTGGAACCCGTGGAGGCCCGTGCCAGATACCCACAAGTCAGACCCCCAAGGTACGTCTTGCTTCTTTAATTGGCATCTTTCTTATTACATTTTTACTAAGTTTTTGTAAAATTATGTTATTTTCTTCGTTAAAAAATACCTTTTAAGCCATTTTCTTTATATGTTTGCCTCTTTAGGTCAAAAATAGTTCCTTTTGATGTCAATTTTGTTTTTGAGAAAAAACAGGTTTCTTATCTTTTATTTTTGTCGTTACTGGATTGTATTTTCACGATTTTACTGTAAAACTTAAAGATTTATCTCATATTTTAAACGCAAACTTATATTTTTAGTAAAAGAAGAAAATTTTTAAAAAATCTACGGTTTAATAAAAAAAATAAAAAAATAAACAAAATGTCTAGAAGGCTTAATATTATGAATAAAATATTTTCTTCTCATTGAATATAATTAATTATAATTAATTAAATAAAATGTTTGTTGAAAAAATTACTTTTGATATAACACAAAACAAACAAAAAACTAACACAGAAAATATACCAATAATAAAAAAACAAAAAAAACGAACACACAAATAAACTGACTAAACAAACATATCAATAGAATTAATAAATACAAACAAATCCACAAAAACTAGCTAATTAGCCATAAACAAAACAATTCATATGAAAACAAAAAACACTAATAAAATGCAAACACGTTAACATAAATAAACAAATGAAGAAAATCAAGTAAAATAAAACAAAAATTACTTTTTTAGTAACAAAACAAACGAATAGATAAAAACCAGATTGCGGGGAAAAAAATCATCCACACATAAATATGCACCTACTGAGGTTTAACATACACACATACATATGCACCTACTGAGGTTTAACATACACATATAAATATGCACCTACTGAGGTTTAACATACACATATAAATATGCACCTACTGAGGTTTAACATACACATATAAATATGCACCTACTGAGGTTTAACATACACATATAAATATGCACCTACTGAGGTTTAACATACACATATAAATATGCACCTACTGAGGTTTAACATACACACATACATATGCACCTACTGAGGTTTAACATACACACATAAATATGCACCTACTGAGGTTTAACATACACACATAAATATGCACCTACTGAGGTTTAACATACACACATAAATTACATTGACAACCAAGACAAACTTTTATAACTAAAAAATTATTAAAGAAAGTCTCTGGCCAACACAGGTAACATAATATGAGTGATTAATTTAATTAAGGATTGTAAATTAAATTTTGGAACTCCATTTTTATTGTTCGCATTATTTCAAAGATCTGCGCAATATTTCTTAAAATAACTTATTTTTCTTTTGTGTTAAATCGATCAGCATGATATTACATATGCTTCTAATGGTTTTGTTTTACAAGGCATTATGGTTATATAACACGGGCGAACCACAATTTTTGTTCCAATTTTTAAAAAAATGTGTATGTGTAAGGGGGGGGGGGGTGATGTTAATATCAAGTTTGCTGTAATGTTTGTCGACGCCCATGTGTCTAAGTGACACAGCTTTATTGATCCATACGAAAATCAATAATACAATAATTATTCACGCGCTTGTAATTGAAACAAAAAATACAACTCAGGTTGGTCCACTGAACCAAGTGGTTACATATAACCAAGTGGCTATATATAATACAACTCGGCTATATATAATACAACACGGCTAAATATAATACAGCACGGCTAAATATAATACAGCACGGCTAAATATAATACAACACGGCTATATATAATACAACACGGCTATATATAATACAACACGGCTAAATATAATACAGCACGGCTAAATATAATACAGCACGGCTAAATATAATACAGCACGGCTATATATAATACAACACGGCTATATATAATACAACACGGCTAAATATAATACAGCACGGCTAAATATAATACAGCACGGCTATATATAATACAACATGGCTATATATAATACAACACGACTAAATATAATACAACACACAGCTATGCATAATACAACACGGCTAAACATAATACAACACGACTAAATATAATACAACAAACAGCTATGCATAATACAACACACGGCTGTACATAATACAACACGGCTATGCATAATACAGCACACGGGTATACATAATACAGCACGGCTATACATAATACAGCACACGGCTATACATAATACAGCACGGCTTCACATAATAAAACACGGCTAAATATAATACAGCACACGGCTATGCATAATACAGCACACGGCTATACATAATACAGCACGGCTATACATAATACAGCACACGGCTATACATAATACAGCACGGCTTCACATAATAAAACACGGCTAAATATAATACAGCACACGGTTATACATAATACAATACGGCTATACATAATACAACACGGGTACAAACAATACAACATAACTACACAAAATACAAGTAGATGGCTACACATAATACAACATAGCTACACATAATACAACATAGCTACACATAATACAACATAGCTACACATAATACAACAACACGGCCACACATAATACAACAACATAACTACACACATTACAACATGATACTTAGACTCAATGCAACAGCATGTCTACATTACATCACATTACGATCGCATTGTCAGCAACCACCCAGCCGATGATAGAGCCTACAGCTTGTGAAACGTAATTAGAAGCCTCGTTAACTACCTATCAACTGTGCGATTTTGGACAGACAAATCCAAATATATATATGTATAATGTTATCATTAAAATCACGCCGGTTTTCTCATTTATTATCTAAAGATGTTCCTAACAAAGTTTGGCGAATCTAATGTTATGAGCGTGTCAATCGCTAGCATTTCAACTCCTGCTAGCCTAAATCGTATTTTTGTTAATCTCCGAGTAGGCTGTAAAGTTGACTACCCGGCCATCGGTATATTCCCCCAACACATCCGCCGGACTTTAAAAATTCGATCAGCCGTCCAGTTGACTCTACGTTTGACAACAAAAATCTACCTTGTTCTGTGTCAAATATCTTCACAATCCCCACCCCCAAGTGAAACTTTAGCGATACTTGTATATGTGGTACTTCGACCAGAAACTCATAGTCCCTGGGTCGGCTAACTTCAGATAAGAGTGTTGATTAAATAAAGCTTCAGATATTTTAGGAGCGTCGGAATGTAGAAATATTTAACGAGTGTTAATTAATTATAACTATGGTTATTTAAAAGTGTCAATTATAAAAAAAAACTATAGACATTTTAGGAGTGTCACTTAATTAAAAATATAACGTGTTTTGAGGTGTTAATTAGGCTGCTAAAACTAGAGATAAATTTGGAGTGTCATTAAGCTTAAATTTTTGAATATTTAACGTTGCCGATTACCTAAAACTATACATAATTTAGGGGTGCCAGTTGATTAAAACTATACATACGAGAGGGTGTCATCTTCAAATAGGTGTCAGTAGTTACATAATTAGACACAACGAATATCTGAAGTATACATTCCCCAGTAAGTCACGGTATATCTCCCCCCCCCCCCCCCCCCCCCATATCCTGTCACCCGGTGCGGTTCACTTTGTATCGCTACTGATGGCTGATTTGATTTCAATCTTTTTTTAAACCAGCGAACGGCTATCTAACTTTAGGCATCGAATTCTCTCACGGTTTCCTCAACGTTGGCTTATCAGGGAGGATGAAAATTTAAACCTTTTCGATCCGCCATCGATTTTAAATTCTGATTGATTGAAGCACTCGCACAACTAAAAAAACGAGATTTTAAAATCATCTGTAAATTTACCTGACGTTCCAAAACAAAAATGCATTTTTGTTTTGTTAATATATTTAAGTTTAATTAATCACAACACGGATGATTACATTTAAATAGATTTTAAAAAATAATTTTAAATGTTTTTTAATGAAATTATTAACATTTCAAACGGGTAAATTAAGTACATGTGAAATGGCTAAAACAAACAATAGCCCACGTTACTTCGACTCAACCCACTTAAACAAAACAATAGCCTCAAAACAAAACAATAGCCTCAAAACAAAACAATAGCCTCAAAACAAAACAATAGCCTCAAAACAAAACAATAGCCTCAAAAGGAATTCAATTCTAATTTTAAAAATAATTTAATATTTGAACGAAATTATAATTACAATCAAACTAAAAACATTAATAATACGTTAAGTCTCAATTATTTTCATGCTAAAAATGTGGAGGGTAATTGAATGCTAAAAATGTTGACGAATGTACGACTAATCCCAATACAACAAAACACTTAAAGCCGTGTGATCGAATTACAAACAAATAAGGATTATATTTATTAGGTAATCAAAGCCTTCAACCGGCTAGAACAAATATAGCCGTCATACCCTACAATAGTTTGAAATGTAGATTTCATGTTTATAAATTTGTAAATGTATTAACGATTGAATCGAAACGTTTGTCAAAAAAAGAATAAATAAATTTAAAAAAAAATGAAATCAAATTTCAAACATAGTGAGAAAAATAAAATATAAAATGCATTGTAGGCTTATATTATTGTTGGGGGTGGGGTAAGAGGGGGGGGGGGCATTAATTATGTAAACAGTTGCGGTAGCAGACGTCAGGTTTGTGGGTGTCTCGTGTTGTTGTTAGCATGCCACGTCTGCACAACAATTTTTCAAAGTGACAAATGGCACCATTTATTTGGTCAGTTTCGGCATGGCTGGTGCTAAATTGTTCTGGCTAATGATAATTTGGCACCTTAGTTTTTAATGAGAGAAATTGATAATTAATGATGGAGGCTAGCAGTCCAGACCTCGCGCTCATTATGTCAAACTAGAGGTGCAGATTAATTTTAGATTTCACAAATAGTGCGGAAGATATTTTTTACGTTATCTACACCGATAAAATAAACTACACAAATAGATTTGAAGATAGATCTATCGAAAATAAACTACAGAAATAGATCTGAGAATATAGCTCAAAAATAATATTCACTGATGATAATTCTGAGGATATTTAAGGATAAATTTACCTAAATTTGGATGTTCAACTACACAAATTACAATATTTTCAATAGGTATTTTTTTAAACTTAATTTACTCTCACTGAGTACTCAGCACCCCCCCCCCCCCCACCCCCCACCCCCTACCCCCAACACCGATCAAGGAAAGAAACGAAAGATCGCCTAAAATGACAAGCAAAACACAGCTACATAATCCAACCATGCTTATCCTAGAGAAGCCCTATGACAACCCAGCCCATAATATTCCTAGCACAACCCTTATAAAACCCGCTGTCAACCGATGTAAAACCTACCCCATACTATTGCTCCGTTATTATATTTTAACCTAATCTAAACCTAACCTGCCCCAACCATAACAAAAGGATTTGCAATATATTTGGTCACCTAAGAATATATATGAACATCCGGCTTTAATACTTTAAAACACATGAACCTAACCATCTTAAACTTTAAACCACATGAACCCAACCATCTTAAACTTTAAAACACATGAACCCGACCATCTTAAACGTTAAACCACTGAACCCAACCACCCTAAACTTTAAACCCACTGAACCCGACCATCTTAAACTTTAAACCACTGAACCCAACCATCTTAAACTTTAAACCACTGAACCCAACCACCCTAAACTTTAAACCCACTGAACCCAACCATCTTAAACTTTAAACACACTGAACCCAACCATCCTAAACTTTAAACCCACTGAACCCAACCATCTTAAACTTTAAACCCACTGAACCCAACCATCTTAAACTTTAAACCACATGAACCCAACCACCATAAACTTTAAACCACATGAACCCAACCATCCTAAACTTAAAACCCACTGAACCCAACCATCCTAAACTTTAAACCCACTGAACCCGCCTCTCAGATCACATAGCATAAGAAATTCTCCTTATTCAAACTAGACCCAGCTTGTCAGCGAAGACGAATAGCCTAAATCTTGACCTCAAAGAAAGCAATCACCATGGATTGTTAACAAACACTCTATGGGATTTTATCATTAATATATCACGCTGGATAGTTTTGTCTGTTTAAAAAATGCAATTATTTTTAATATAAATATAATTCTCTGCTCCAATTATAAAGGTAGATATTATTTTGTATTCGTTAACACGTCTACATTGCGTATTCGAGTATATTGTGCTTTGGAAAAAAATCGCTACCCGAATACTTAACGCTAGCGTATATTCGTATCCGTGCACTATCAGTCACGCTAACCCTAAACCGAACAGGACTTTATCAAAGATATCAGAGAAAAAATTTCCTCGGCACTATAAGTGACGCTTACCCTAAACATAACCGAATTCTACCAGCGATACCTGATAAAGTTCGATACGATACTGCACTGTCCTGTCTATGTTTTTCTCTAAACCAAATAAAGCTCGACTTTAACCGCCTGTTCAGGTTGAGTAAAAACGTTTGTGGCCTTTACAAAGCGTCTTCTTGAGTCAGTGAAGACAACTTTTTTTTGAACACGCCCGCAATAAAAGGACATAAAACCAAAATCTAATAAACAAACCGCTGCGGCCACCGTACACGCAGGCAGGCACCCTCGCAGGTGCTTTTTCTACTCACGATCTACTCGCATGTGCACATGCCGAATTTCTCCAGAGTCTGGCATTCTCATCAGCCCTGCCAGCAGGGGGCTAGGCAAAGTTTACCCACCGCGGCCAATACACCGTGCCTAATAAGACGGGCTTCGATTGAGAGATCCGTTAACTTAAGAGGCGAGAGCAATTATCTTCAAGAATTATTTAAACGACGAGACTGGTAGTCAATGAAGCGTGGCCTGAAAACGGTTCTAGATGAGTCTTGATTCTAGAAGATAGCCATTAAAGCGAGAAACCCGGTCCAATTAAATTGCCAAGCGAAAAAGCCATAACACCTATTTTACGGCAATTTACGCGGCAACGTTTTATAAGAAAAGGCGAGTTGAAGACCCATGAAACAGTAAGGGGGTGTTATAAGCGAATCGGCATTGCCCGTGGCAACTTAAAGACGCCCACTTCAATTGAGTTGCGACTAATTTCTTGTCTTAATTATGTGCACATAGAGTCTTCACTTTTTTAACTGCGTCAACTTTTGCAGATGATAGCAGGAAAACACATCAGAAGGGCTGTATTTGTTGATGTGTTTTTTTATGTAAACACCTAATTGGTTTTAAAGTATATGCAGTGGGTACTGTGATATTTTTTAGGGTGGATTAACCTGTGGGTTAAGGTTATATCGGCTGTTATAATTAAAACTGGTGTGGTTAGGTTATATTTAATGTAGGTTTTGGTAAAAATGGCCTGTTAATTTTTCGTATTATCTTAGTGTAATGTTATATAACATGTAAGGTTATATCGAATAGACCTGAAGGTTTATAATCCTGATTAACCTGTCGCTGTTATGTTATGACATTAAAGTAGTTATTCTTCCAGAATTTGACAATACAACGCATTAAAAACATGGCAATTTGAAAACAAAGGACTAAACAAACAAAATCTACAAATAATTAAAGGTAGATAGTTTTAAAATACTAAAATGCCAAACAGAATAATTAATTATCAGGGCAAATTGCATCTTCCAAGAAAGCTTTCTGCATTTAAAACTTACGCACTCAAATGGACCTTATAACAAAATCATGATATATATTTATAAATAGTTTCAAAAAATTATTTATTTTCGAAATGTAAGTTTCTAATTATGAATAATTTACTAAGTCCATCAAATAAAAAATTAGAAAAACAACCATAAGAATCTCCAGGAAGTCAAACAACCCATTTTATCTATACATGACAAATTTAATATGTAAGAGAAATATTACTGGCAACAAAATCATAGTTTGGTGAGTTTGAAGAAGAATGTGCTCAAATATATTTTTACAAAGTATTTTTTTAATCAAAGAAATATTTGTTTGTACGCGTAAAAAGATTTGAGTTGAAATCAATTTCATTTTATTTTTGGTTGATTGTAGTCGATTGTCGTTGAACTAAAAGACTGAGTATTGACGATTCGGACTTACAGCTTTTAACGATTCAGACATTCAGCCTTTTCCCCGTGAAACATACAGTATTTCATTATGGCAGAATAATTTTTTGTTGTAGATTTTGAAATTTAATCAGTTTTAAAATGTAATTAAGAGGCTGAAATTATAGCTGGTAGTTGGATAATATAATTAAGTTTGAAAAAAAAAAGAATTTGGAACTTCTAATCCAGAAACAATTCAGATGGGAGATGATAAAATACTACTACTTATCTTGAAATGTTTGTTTAACAATAATTCTGAGGTTAAAATAAGCTATTCCGTATTTAGCAATCAAATTGTGTGTGACTTAAGTAAGATCCAAGATAGTAGTCTCGAAACTTATTAGAATGGCATCTCATATTTGTATATGTGTGCTCGCAACCCAGCATAACTTGAAAATATATTGTTTCAGTGGATGTTTGATCAAATACAAATCTTTCAAAAACTTACAGAAACTCAAACCCTTGGTTTAACTTCTAAAACGAATACACTAAATTATATATTTATGTTTAAAGCTATAATTTATGTTATATCTCAATCTTAATTACCTACCGAAGAAATTATTTAATAACAGGATTTTATAAAATTATAAATTTATTTGAATGTTTACACTTTACATTGTATGTGCACACTTTACATAATATCACAAAGTAGGCCTATTTTCAAAGAAAAGAAACTTAATATAAATGTTTATTTTATTGTTATTTGACCCTGTAGTTATAATTTAAATTTTAACTTTATACTATTTTGATCTACATGTTTATTTACGTTTATTTAATAGAAAACGACTATTGAATTATTAAAACTTGAAACAAACTAGTTCACAAGAAACATTTTTCTAAAATTATTATTTGGATAATTATTTTTAAAAAAATCAATGGGGTTCGATTGTTGTTTATTGACGTTAAACATCGCATTATTATTTTTTAAAATAATGTTAATATCAATTCAATATCTATCGCTTAATCAATTTTGTGAGATGAAATTTTTGTTCAAGATTTTTTTATTTTTTGAAAAAAAAAAAAACAACAGTTTTGTTCTTACAATGTTAATTGTTAATGCGAAGCTGCTCAAATTTAATTAACGTCATTCATTATTGAAATATCTTTTTTTAACTTTCAGGACTACGTCACGACGATGACGTTTCTCTGACGTCATCGCAAGAGAACTTCGACCCCGAGGAGGACGTGGACATGTGCGACGAGGACGGCAAACCTCTGGTGGACGACGACAGCGACGACGAGAAAAGAAACGGCGACGACAGCGGCAACAACAGCAGCGACAGCGGCAAGCAGGGCAAGCCCCGGCGGGCCCGAACGGCCTTCACCTACGAGCAGTTGGTGGCGCTGGAGAACAAGTTCAAGACCACTCGCTACCTCTCCGTCTGCGAGAGGTTAAATCTAGCTCTGAGCTTGAACCTCACAGAAACACAGGTACGTCAGACTTTAAATTTGTTGATTGTTTGGTTGAATCTAGCTCCGAGCTAAAACCTGACAAAACCTAAGTAATCGCCTACAAAACACAAGTACGCCTACTACTGTTTTGTATTATGTTGAGTAATATCTATATATATAATTCTCTTCTGGGAGACGCTAGAAAACAAGCTGTAAGCGCGCTCCCTACCACCACCACCCCTACATGGTCTGGTGAGCTGTGGTTCATGCTAAATGTTTACAAGCAGAGCCGGGTTTAGTGACGACTATTAGGGGCAGATAATTTAGTTTGAAACAATTTTAAACGTAGGGGGTGGGGGTGGGGGGGGGGGGTAACTAAGTGGTTTACTTTAACGGAGGGGGGGGGGGGAGGGGGGTATTGTCCTTAACGAGCTACTTATAGTGTTTTAAAGAAATATTTTCAGTGGCAGCGTTGGTAGTGTCGAATTCACAAATTATGAATTATTGAAAAGTAGAAAAAAACAACAACTAAATAGCAGCGTATGATATGCCGCGGGCCGGCTCGTTAGTTGAAATTTAGCTCTGAGCTTAAATATCACGGAAACTCACGTACGACTGACTTACAGATGGTTGAATGACCATGCTCTAAAACCATATTCTCACTTGACAAAGTGAAAATTTTTTGTATCATTGAAGAAATAGGCCTATATGTTTTTATTTTTAAACACAAGGTTTTTTTTAAAAAATTATTTTAAAAGAAATCAACAAATCTAAACATTATTGGTTGGGACTTAAAAAAAAAAGTTATGTTTTTACAAAACTCAAAGAGTTTTCAATATTCAATTGTTATAATGAAACATATACACTTTAATTCAATGACTAATGAATATTACACACCAAATGCTAGATTTCACTATAATTTCCCGATCTATCCCGCCGAGTTCTCAAAATAATTTTTTAAATCTCCAGGTGAAAATTTGGTTCCAGAATCGCCGCACCAAGTGGAAGAAACAGAACCCTGGCCTGGATGTCAACAGTCCCACCATTCCCCCATCTTCCGGGGGGTTCGGATCTTTCTCCAGCCCGTACTCCAGCATGCTGTACGGCCAGTCCCTCCACCCCTACCTGCCGTCCGCAGGGCTCATGAGCCCGCTCAGTATCCTCAGAGCCCACGGCTCCTACGGCTCCGGACAAAACCCGGCTGTGTACTACCCCTACTTCAGCCAGACCACGTGATAGTCGGGCCGGAGGTTAAAGGTTAATCTGATCGGTCAACTTCCGGTACTCTCAGAGACTTAGAAATGTCAAGGTCACGATCGAGAGCCTCGACTTCAATTTAAATCTAACTCAAGGCAGTGATTGAAGATTAGGATATTTGACGTGTAAGAAATCAAATGTGGAACATTCTTTCAAAATGTTCTGTTTATTCTAGAACATATGACGTAATCAGTTTATGAGTTCCACACAAGGATTCTGGAAACCAGACGATTGTGTTGGCTGGTTCAGACTTGGCGAAAAGACAATGTATGTATTCTCTTATCGACAGGAACTATTCGTCAACGATTTCATTTCCGTCAAGCGCAGACAAGACCAGTAAAGCTGTTCCCTGTTCCCGGACTAGGTCTGTAGAGCTGTTCCCTGTTCCCGCTGGTACATGGATGAATGTCACGTGATCGAGACGTTCATCGTTTCACAAGAGATAAAGCTGGCACTTCGAGCTACTCAACTACAAAAGCCTTGAGCATGTAGTACTGAAATATTAAACAATTGGTATACATTGACGTGAATCTCTTAGACAGCAAGCACAGAACTACACACTGATGTGGATCACTTACACAGCAAACACAGAGCTACACACTGACGTGAATCTCTTACACAGCAAGCACAGAACTACACACAGACGTGAATCTCTTACACAGCAAGCACATAACTACACATTGATGTGAATCTCTTACACAGAACACAGAACTAAACACTGACGTGGATCTTTTACACAGCAAACAGAACTACACACTGACGTTAATCTTTTACACGTCAAGCACACAACTACACATTGATGTGAATCTCTTTAACACAAACGATAAACAGACTAAATTTAAAAAACTCACAAACTTTTTGTTTGGTAGTACCTTAGACTATGACATAATATAATCTGTTTCCAGTGTATGGATGTTTAGTGCAATATGCTAGATTTACGTTAGATAAAAAGTAGATTGTTTTTATGCTAGATTTACGGTAGATAAAAAGTAGATTATTTTTATGCTAGATTTACGGTAGATAAAAAGTAGATTATTTTTATGCTAGATTTACGGTTGATAAAAAGTAGATTATTTTTATGCTAGATTTACGGTAGACAAAAAGTAGATTGTTTTTATGCTATATTTACGATAGACAAAAAGTAGATTGTTTTTATGCTATATGTACGATAGACAAAAAGTAGATTGTTTTCTTGCTAGATTTATGGTAGACAGCTAGTAAAAATGCGTTGTTTTTCTTTTTTTTTAGTTTTGCTGCTGAAAGTAGTAAGTAAAAAAATTTTGGCGAAAAAAAAGCAGCAATAATATTTTTAAAAATACATACAACTTCGTACTCCGCTTTTTTTGCGGAGACGAGCATTAATTTTTGCATAATCGTCCGATCAGTTTTGAAATGTTATTGAAAAACTGAAGGGGTGTGAGCGGAGTGGGGTGAGTAGAATGCCTCTGTGTCCGTAAGTTAAGAAAAGTAAAGAAGGCTAGAAAAAACAATTGACCATTCTATCATTTCATATGCCGAGTTCACAGGAAAAAGTGAACTCAATTCATCTGACCAATGGGCCTCCAATAAATGAAAGAAATCCGAGTTTATTAAAATATAATGTGAAATATTCTTTACAAACAAAACAAGATAAAACGCATTTTATTTTAGATTGTAAGAATAAATTTCGTTACGTCGTATTTTAATTCCTAAAGCACTCAACAGATTAACTAATGAAGAGAAATATGATAAAACACTGATGCTACGACACACTACAATTTACAGTTCAAACACAATCTTTATACATTTCTATTACTAATACGTCCTTTTCTTTTGTACATCATATTTACTCAGAACCTGTGAATATATTTTAAAAATATAAGAATTATTTATAAATTATGACATTTAGTGTCGTCTTGATGACTGTAGCTAACTGTACAGAATATGCGATTGATGCTGTGGTATTTTTACATAAAATGTTAAACCTGTCTTCCATACTTTATTGTTTTGTTTATTCCGTATGTTGATAAAATGATTTATATTTTTCTTTTTTTTCTCATTTTCTATCTTCAGTTTTCTCTAGTGGTTTTTAAATTATCTTAATTACACATTGTTTCTGCCTACTTTAAATAGAATTTGTAGATGCCTTATATTTAGTTGGTTTGAAAATTCATTATTATTACATGCCATATGATGTCATTTAGATGACAATTACGTCCAGATGAAACGCCAACCAGTAATGAATTTTTCATCTTCAAAAAGTTTTACGACATTAAAATATGTTTACGGCAAGTTTTATTTTACTTTTTAACATTGTTTATTTATGATGATTTTCTGGAGAATTGTTTGACATGTACATTGCAATAAATTTATGAGTGATGAATTTTCAGTTTTTTCTTCTTCTTTTTAAATTATGAGTGATATAATTTTTATTTTACTTTTGTTGTCTTGATAATAAATTGTCTGTCTTAAGTGTCGTAAAATTTTTATCGTAAATTTTTGTTTGCTTGATTTGTTAGATTGATGTGTTGTTTTGTTATGGTGCATTTAGTGATTTAGTAAACCCGAATCTGTTTTATTATTGGTTTAGTATACCCAGTTTTCTTTTGATATGATAGTTTTAGTGGTTTTTAAACCTTGTTTGTTGTGTATGGTAGGTTTGGCAATTTAGGAATTCCGATTCTGTTTTGTTATGATAGTTTTGGTGATGTAGTAAACCTTGTTTGTTTCGTATGGTAGGTTTTGTGATAGATTTTTTGCAGTGGCGTAGGCAGGGGGGTTAGGGGGGTCATAACCCCCCCATAGACCCCTCGGTATATAGAAAAAGTATGAAGGGGGGGGGGGTGCAAATCGAAAGTTTGAGGGGGGGGCGAATCGAAAGTTTGAGGGGGGGGGTGCAAATCGATAGTTTGTCCCCGGGTAAAAATTGGAACCCCCCCCCCACCCTTGAGACGATCCTGGCTACGCCACTGGATTTTGGTAAATGTATTGATTTAGTAAAGCCGATTATATGACGTAGTGCTTGTATTAGCAGTGGTGTGTATGTTGGCTGTGAGTGTGGGGTGAATGTTTGATGTTGGTGAAGTGGGCTTCGTGTGTTTTATGGTTGGGGGGGGGGGGGTGGCTGTGTGATGAGTGTTGTTTTATAGGTGGGGTAGTTATGTGATGGGTTATGTATTAAATTATGTATTAAATTATACTTTGTGGTTACTTAGTGTTTACTCATTATGATCAACTAATCTCAACCTAGTGGTAAGGTTTGGGGTACTGATGAAGTGGAGGTGTTGTTTACTTTGTACTCGAGGTTCAACCAGTACAAACATCAGATAATTGATACACTCTTCAAGTGCCAAATACTTCACAAAAACCCAGACCGTGAAACGTCAACATCAATTATCAAGTCAACACCATTAGGTTGTAAATAATGATCATAACACGTCAGTCTCAATTCCATTTAATTAAAATTATTTAACAAGGGTCGACACAAAAAAAAAAAATCTTCCCAATGCCAAATTCACTTAAGGTCTGACATTAAAAAAAATAAAAGAAAGACAACGATTATTTTTTGAACCACTGCTCTATTCTTCATCCTGCTGTTTTACTCCTGGTACACGAGCAGTGCTTAAATCGTTGAGAGACGTATGGGAATGTAGGTCGTGAGTCTAGTCTTAGGTTCGGTGTTCATACATTGCCAGATAAATAATAGACTTAAACATTGGCTAACACCTACAGGTGAATGAGGAAAGAATGTAGACAGTGAATCTTGTCTTAGGGGTTTAAGTCAGTGATCACCTATTGCAAAAAATAAGACATAAACATTCTTGATTAATAGTGTAATTTGCTGTATGAGCACAAATATGAAAAAAAAAAACAACAACATATTATTGAAACCCGCAAGAAACTAGTACAAAACCACCATATTGTTTCGACCTTGGCTTCGTCTGAAAATAAAAACAAATTAATGACAAAAACAACATTTGGAGATAATGTGGAATACTAAAATAGCACATACTCAGTCGCAACTAATCTTAATTAATTTTTTTAATAAGGAGAAGATGACGTACACACACACACGTATGTTTGTGAATTGTTGTGTGACCTATTCTTAACAATTATTCTTGAAAAAGCGTGTGTTGTGTGACCTAATGTTGAAATGTTACTTAATATGTGACCTCATGCTGTAGAGCTATTTGTTATATGACCTAATGTTGAAATTGTTGAATGACCTAATGTTTAATATATTGTAAGACCTAATGTTGAAATAGTTATATGACAGAACGATGAACCACACAATTACTTGCCTTTTTTCACTAATAGGGCTGGTAAGTAGGTCACCAACCAGTTCTATGGCTCATGCAGGTTTTATTGAGCCGTAGAACTGGTTGGTGACCTACTTACCAGCCCTATTGTCACGGAGTTTTAGCAAGTTTCGCATTTGAGATAAAGTAAGGAAATGAATACAAATTGTTTCTGACACAGATGTTATCCTTGTTTAACTTTTTACTTTCTCGTATATACGAAGTATAGAGAAAGTCTTGTAATCGTGCAAAAAAAAAAAATCGAGATTTTTGCAAATCTCGACGTTTTGCATCTCACTGATACGGAAAAACATAATTTTGCAATCTTGTCCGTATGTCTGTGTGTCTGTGTGTGTGTCTGTGTGTGTGTGTGTCCGTGTGTAAACACGATAACTTGAGTACCGTTACAGCTAGGTTGATGAAATTTCATATATAAGTATTTTATCAAAATCGTAGATCCGTATCAACTTTTGAGCGATTTCCGACAACCGGAAGTGGTACTTTTTCTACTTTGAATTTTTCAAAAGCCTATAACTTGAGTACTATTTCAGATAGATAAATTAAATTTCACATGTAAGTAAAAGATCTAATTCTCTACCTTCTGTTAAATTTTGAGTAATTTCCGTTGACCGGAAGTAGTAATTAACGCTACTTCCGATTTCTCAAAAAACTAATGTAAATTTTTAAAGTACTAATAATATTGCGCACTATTATGCGCTTTTTTATTCGCGTTCACTTGGTGTGCAATTAATTTGTCTACGAGATTTTATTCTATTTTTAAAACTTTAAGTATTTAAAATGGATTAAAAATCATGTCTAGAAGTCTATAGCCCGAGTTCCCATCCCCTGTTATTTTATATAAGAATATTCGAGAAAGTTTAGGGGAGATCACTACCGGTTTATTATCTTTTGTTCTTCTCATCCAGGATTCAAATTTTAATATTAAAGTATGTCGGTATTTTTATTTTAATAATTATTCAATTTATATGATTATTTTCAAACTAGCTGATTCATCGCAAAGCAAATATTTGATTAAACTGGCCAGTGGATTCAATGCTTGCGATAGATTTTTACTATGTCGCTGATAATCCCAACTAAACACATTCAACCCTGCAATATTTAGTTTCACCTCTGTACGTCACATTCGTAAACAACATCAGCTACTGTTTGGTACACAAT